CGTCAAGATGTCCTTAGAACTTCATCAGGGACAGTTCTGCATGTGGGGGGGGGGCGGATATGCTAGACTCCGATCTCACTCTCCACTGCTGCTACCACCTACCTCTCAATAAGGCTGTTGTTTGTCAAAGGTTATGTTAACTTCTTCTCTGCTTCCGGCGCTTTTGGTATTAGCGCATCACTGCTGCTCTGATGATAGAATTGAGTTTAGTGACAGGATGTCTGAATTCTACAAACAGACCCAGCAAGTGTAAGGCATCATTCTCAGCTTTCTGTCGTTATGACCTGGGGAGCTGTTAAGGCTCTCTGTGTGCTAACTGTACCATGTCCAGGAGGGCCAGCAGTAGCAGCTTTCTTTAAAAAAATCCTATTTGTTTATTTGAGGAGGAGTGTGCCATGGTGCACATGTGAAAATCAGAGCACAACTTGTGGAAGTTAGTTCTCTTTTCCTAACATGTGAGTCTCAGGAGTCAAAGACAGGTCATCAGTCTTGGCAGCATGTGCCTTTACCCTCTGACCTGTCTCTATGGCCCCAGGAGTATCTTTTGAATGTCATTTGTCAATGGGTTAAAGTGAGAATCTAGAGCTGATTCACACATTCCTTTCCATAATTGACTGGCTCTCATTGGTGGATACATTTTTGTGCGCCAGACACCTGACGTTCATTTTGAACAACCTTAGGAGCTACGTCAGCACACTTAGTTCCATGCTTGCCTTCTACATGATAATACTCCTCAAGTGCTTAGGATGCACTCAACACCCTTCTGTGTGCATTGTGTATAGTCACAAATCTACAGCACTGAGCCTGTTAACACTCATGTTTTGAAGGCAGTGAATTAATCACAGAACCTTGCACAAGCTGCCTTAGGTCTGTCTCTTGGTAACAATGCAAAGGTGACTTTTGAACCCAGACCCTGTGAGGTTCTTAACCATGGCACAGTGCTGATCTTTTATTTTAGTCACTACATGGTTGCTTTTTATTTATCAACCTGTGATTGTTGAGTACATATTAATTTCATATACACAGAGTTATTGCTGTGACTCTCCACACAAGCATCCAATGTGCTTTGTTGCTCTTCAGAGTGCCTTTTACCTCTGCCTTCTGCTGCTCTTCCTCCTCACAGTTCTTGTTATACTATCGACTCTTCTGTACCTTTTTATTTTGTCACAGTTGTTTGAGGATTTTGTACAGTGTACTTCGATCATATTGTCGTCTTCCCCTAACTTCTTCCCAGATCCATTGCCTCTTCCACACCTAAAGACACACCAAAAGAGTACCAGCTTTGTGTTCCCTTTCTCCCAAACCATCAAGTCCAACTTGTGCTGCCCATACACTCACAGGTGTATACCCTTCCACTGGGAGTGCGGGCAACCTAGCATGGGATCCATCTTTAAAGAAAACTGATTCTCCCGGTCCAGCAGCTACTAAGTGCCAATAGTTCCTCAGTTAAGGGTGGGACTTCACACCCAACCCTACCTCCCATACTAGGATTTTGTCTGTCTTGAGCTTGCGAAGGTTTTGTGCATGTTGTCACAATGGCTACGTGCAACTACCTTGTTGTTTTTTGTTTTTGAAAAACATGGTTTCCTTGTAGTCATCCACTATAACAAATCTTCTAAAATTTTGTTTCCACATAGTTGAAAACCTGTAGAAGTTGCTTGTTTCTCTATGTCTGCCTCATTTCTCTTAATGTCTTCTATCTTCATCCAATTTCCTACAAGGGAGATGATTTTGCTCTTCCTACGGCTGAGTCACGGTCCATTGTGCACATACCATCTTTTCTTCGACCTTGCTTTTGTCAGTGGGCATGTGGACTAATTCTGAAGCTCGTCTGTCTTGCATAGTTATGATAAACACATACATAAGTGTCTGCAGGAGTCACTTTTGCATGCTTGCCCCATTTCCTTCAGGTCTATCGCCAGGAGTGGCATAAGGTTCAATCCCAGTGATAGGCAAGGAATCAGAAGCTGGAGAGGTTATCAGCTTGTCTGTCATACGGTTATTAAGTGACAAAGACAGCATATTACAAACATTTATTTGCTTTTTGTATGCCAGCCTTAATCTCCTACCCCCACTATCCGTGGGTTTGGCCATTTGCTTCTGTGATATGAAATTATGATCATTTTTGACCTTCTGGGTCATAGATCTCCAACCTTTCAATTTTAGTAAGCTGTACACTCATTTCACCCTAGGGTCTTAGTCACTCATCCGGTATGATCATTCCAAACTCTGTCACTTGAATGATGTGACAGCCTTGGCCACACCCCCAGCCTCCTGTCCTATCCATGTTCTTCAATCCTCTTCACTCATCATCTGCTCTGTTTCTCTTGGTTCCCTATCCCCTGTACCACATGTTCAGCCATCTTCAACAATGCCATTTTCTGGTCCAGCCATGTGTCCTATAGTGATATTTCAAAGATGGACTGCCTACTGTTTGACTATATTGCTTGAGCTGTGGCCATTCTTCATCTGTGTAGATGTGTTCTCTGTACAATGATAATGCCAACTCATGCAGTTATCAGACGGCATCTGTTAAGCCAGGTAGGCACTTTATAGTACATACACAATACATAATACCATATGTACAGTTGTCCATAATACAACCACTTCCAGTTTTGAGCCCTTATGCTTCATACCTTTCTTTCTTCTTTATTGTATTCCTCTCCAAGACCCAGCAAGAAGACTTTTCTGTGAAAGTTTAGCTTCCTGGTCACCCTCAATAGAGTATGTTTTCCTCTTGTGTTTTTAGACTTTGACAATTGCTGCTTCTAGATTTCTTGTTTTTCTCCTTCCCTCTCCTGGTGCACTATGGTCTTCACTCATGCTCCTTAAATATCAGTAATAGCCTTAACAAAAGAGCAAGGGTACGTTCAAATTTCAGCTCCACTACTTGCTGTCTTCTTGACCAGTCTTTCTGAGGCACTTTCCTTATTTGTAAAATGAGATGAAAAGGAAATCTAACTCAGGCAGTTAGTTCCTCAAAAGATTAGCTGAGTTCACAGAGTTGGAGGCAGTATAGCCAGTGCTCTGAAAATCTTCCTTCCCTATCTGAGCTATATACACTGCTCTATATCCAGCCAAACCAGGGTTTGAAGCAGTGTATACAGGTGAACTGCGGCGAATAGAAAAGCCTCATCAGTCCTGGTAGAACGAAAGCATAAAAGCTTTCCACACAGGGTAAGAATCCTGCTGCTTCAAAATTGAATTACTTTGATACTCATTTGCATAGCAATTATCTAAAATTAAATAAGATCCTAATCTCATTTACCTTCAAAAAGTTTGATACACTTGATCCTAATCAGTCAGAATGAAGTCGACATACTTTCCGAAGCAACGGCAATGATTAGAATAACAGTTGGGGGATGTATAACTTAGATGCATTCGGAGATTGTCATGTGGTTAGAGAATTAGAAACCCTAGAGGCTGAAGGTGGACCCTGCGTTGAGGGACATGTGCAAGGACTGTGTTTCTAGGTATAATATGGGTGAATTAATACCTGTGCTGACCAGATCTTTAGTGGTTGTGGAATTACAGCCTGTGAGTTCTTACCATGGTTCCCCTTAAATAAGCTTTTATTAAAATTATCTCTGATTGTGGTTGGCATTCAGCAAATAGTTCATAACTGATTCCACTTTGGGGCTGATTTTGTCCCCTAAGTGACATTTGGTCATTGCTGCCAACATTTTCTGTTGGGGTTGGCTAGGAGGGAGTATGCCATTGGTATCTGTTGGGTGAAGTTCAAGGATGTAACCAAACATCAGTTCATGCATAAGCCAGCATCTTGCAATTGAGGATTATCGGTAGTTCAGAAGCTGAAACCCCAAACTAATGGAAGGTATAAAACTTCACCTATTTCCCACTAATTTAACGACAGCACTATTTTAAAACTCTTCCCAACAGAAAGAAGGTCATGGCAGGAAGTTATTTTCATAGAAAGTAAATTTAATCCAAATTATCCCCAAAATAGCTACAAGAAGACAAATGCGATAGACAAAGCAGGTAAAATTGTTTACCCCTCCCCAGTCTTAGCACACCATATCATCTTTGACTGCACATGGAGCATGCCTATTCAGCAGCCGTGGCAGAGCAAAGAGGGCACAGAGTGTTTGCATGAGGTGGGACAACCAATCTTCAGTTGGCGGGGAGGGGGAGATGTGGCTGCAGATTTTCAAGAACATTATCTGACCCGATTGTTGACTAACAGTAAGAGAGCTGCTCTTGCTCTTCTGCAGGCCTTCGTGAACTCATTTATCAAATTTCGGTAGCAGGTTAATAATCATCATGGCTCCTTCAGAAATTCAGGTTGTTAAGTGTAATACTAAATACATCTTCAGAAAAATGTAACACCTATGAGGCAACCAGTCCAGACTGAACTGAAAGGTCAAAGTGTGACTTGGTTAACACTTGGGGTTAGGGCCTGGGGAAGAATGTGTTCCTCAAAATTCTCAGCAAGAGACACTGAATATGTGTTTTTATTCTTCAGTATGAGGATTATGGAAGCTTTCAAAAATGGCTAAATTAAATAAGAATTTTACTTGCACAAAATGAAAAAATAACTTGAGCATTTTTACTTCTAATTCTTTCTTAAGTTGTTGTGGATAAATGGTCTTGTCAGTGTACCTGAGACAGAACCTGTTCACCTTTGTATCCCACAATAAAGAAAAAGGAGAAATACAAAAAAAAGAGACTTGACATTGGTACATTAAGTAAGATAAACACCTGCTGTGAGATCTAACCTTGACATGTCTGGAGCATTAAACCATAATTTGGTTTTGGCCCATTCTTGTGTTTCTTGCACACCAAATAATGTATAACTTTCAGATAATTCAAGGATCCATCTATGACAGCAAGGCAATCTATATAAGAATTATTTTATCCTTTTAGGAGAACATCTACTTTAAAACTGGTTGTAGTGTTTCTTAACCACTTAAGTTGACCTGAGGAGTTTCAAGCTGTCTGAGTCATGCTGAGTCGCACTTATTCCCATCTCTGTCTTTCAGGGTCTTTGGGGCTGCAATACTGCTCACCTCTACCCTCAACATGCTAATCCCGTCGGCAGCCAGAGTGCATTATGGATGTGTCATCTTTGTTAGGATATTGCAGGGCCTTGTGGAGGTAAGAACTACAGGGCGGCACCATTTCAACTCTGGAAGAAGCTGAAAGCTGCGAATTTATCTTTGTCTTCATAGATAAATAGATATTAACTGAACTGCATAATGTTAAAATAAAAATGGAAGCGTTGGGAATGTTAGGTGATCAATCTATCTGGTGCGCAAGCCCAGAGCTCCATGCATGTATGCTAAACAGACAAGTGTTCCCTTACCACTTTTTGAAAGACTAATATTTAAATTATTTTTATTATGAGTAGGTAGGTGTGCATGTCTGCATGTGGGTATGAACATGTCAAGGCAGGTACCAGAGGAGGCCAGAGGTACTGGATTCCCTGGAGCTGGAGTCATAGTCTGTTGTGGATAGAGGCAGGGAACCAAACTCAGGTTCAATTTGACTGCCTAGCCATCTCTTCAGCCCCCTTGAGAATTTTATCCTAAATCTCTGCTTTCATTTAATATACTGAAGTGTTTTGTTTAGCATATTCTTAGTCATGTAACTATACAATTGCTTCTTGGTGTAGTATCCTGAAGACTCTGAAGGAATGTCACTTAAAAACCCAAGTATGACCAATGACCTGTCCCTTCTCTACATGGAGTGTGATAGAAATAGACAAATAAGATAAATATAAAAACACCAAGAGGAGTCTTCCTTCTTCCAAAATGGAAAAATATGATAGAATCAAAATTATAGAAAGGTAGTTATTGTTAACGTTAATTTCTAGAAGGCTAAACTCCTATTTACGGTCCTTATATTTGGGGATCGGTCAATGTAGTGCCTCACAAAAGGTGTCCAAATTTCACAAAGTGTTTAGAATCTCAGGTAAACCAATTGGTAGACAGTCTTATCTTCTGCTCTAATAAGAAGAAAGCTAGGGTGAGAGAAAAGCCTGATGGATGGGGGCATCTGAAGAGGCTGTGTGCAGTCATGCCTGGGTAAAATGTCTCAAATGGAATTTCATGGGTTTGGTAAGAGTCTGTTGGTACCAGTTCCTCCCCTCCACCCCCAACCAGTACCATTTGATTAGAATCAGGCTCAGGGAGAAGATGTGCTAACTTCCAAGTGGCCCTGCATTCTAAGTGCCCATGTTTGTTTTCCCACCACAGGGTGTCACCTATCCAGCCTGTCACGGGATATGGAGCAAGTGGGCCCCTCCTTTGGAGAGGAGTAGGTTGGCTACCACCTCCTTTTGTGGTGAGCATTATGTAGCTGTGGTGGCTTAAGAGGAAAAATATGAATAATGATTCAAAATTTGATAAACCCATTTACAAAAGTATTTGGGTTTTGACCACTAGCTTAATTCTGTGATTCTCATTGGCATCTTTAAACCAGCTTTTTATTGTGCTTTGTATTATTTCAGAAGTTGGACCATTTTCAAATATATTAATTTGTAGTTTTATTCTTATTTGTTTACTTTTTATTTTTAAGATAGCTACACAGCAGTGGCTGGCCTGAAACTCCCTATGTAGACCAGGCTGGCCTTGAACTCACGGAAACCTGTCTTCCTTTGCCTCCCCAGTGCTGAGATGAAAGGCATGTACCACCATACATGGCCACCTTTAAAAAATTTCTTTTAGAACCAGATAGGCTGGAAAAGTTCCATTTCAAAATCAGACCAAGAGACAATAAAAATTCACTTTAAACTTCCAAGCTACTATAAATAATGCACCACATAACAAATTATCAACAATATTATTACCTGTAGATACTGATTTGTAAACATTAATAAGGCTTATATCATAGACTTTAAATATCGCAGTTTTTGTCTCTGAGATACTGTTTTCATAATCATTTTTGTCAAGTTTTTTATTTATTTAAAATTTTTCATTTTACATGCCAAGCACAGTTCCCCTCCCTCCCCTTCTCCCGCTCCCCTCCCACCTCTCCTCTACCCCACCCCTCATCCACTCCTCATCAAGGGTAAGACCTCCCTTAGGGAGTCAACACAGGCTGGCATACCAAGTTGGGGGTGGGTCCAAGCCCTCCCCCACAGACAATTTTGATAAGTTTTTAAATGAAAGTAGAAAACGCCATGTGAAGATAAAACTTCATGACTGTGTACAAGATAACACATGCCTTTCTAAAACGATTTTATTATCTTTATCTGATCTGTTGGAGTGTTTGTCTTCATGAACATAAGTGTGCCATCTGTGTGCTGAGTGCCCCCGGAGGGCAGAAAAGAGCACAGCATCCCCTAGAGTCGGAGTTATGGATGGTTGTGAGTCACTGTGTGGGTTCTGGGAACAGAACATAGGACCTCTGCAAGAGCAATAAGTGCTCATAATCATCTCTCCAGTCCACACCCTGGTTACAGTTCTTTAAGTCGGTTGTGTCCTGTCTACCCAGGTGGGATTCAAGATGTGGTCCTGTGGGTTTTGTGTAAGGATGTAGGATGGATATGTTTTGGTGAGGTGGAGTGCATATGCGCGTGTGTGTGTGAAGCTGTTGTGTATTTGTGTGAGCCAATCCTGGTGCACATGAAGAGAAAACTTGTATTGCTCTCACTTATCCTCCTCTTTCGTCCCTTCCGCTCTAGGTTCCTATGCTGGAGCGGTCATTGCGATGCCTTTAGCTGGTATCCTGGTGCAGTACACTGGATGGTCGTCGGTATTTTATGTGTATGGTATGTTGTGTTTGTCTACAGTAGAGTTAAGCAGAGGCTAAGGTGAATATGGTAGCCTACAATGAACAACCATGTTGCTTACTGAGACCCTGATATTGTATGAAGTGATTATGCTTCTGATTGTGGGGAGAATAAGAGGCTCCTGTTTAAAGGATGCTTGGGGTTAAGGAGCTAGCCCCACCTCACCTCTCTTCTCCGCTGTTGTTTCTTGGCCATTTTCCTGATTCTGCCTCCTCAAGCTGAAGGACTGTGGGAGGCAGGAGGATGGTGCTAATTCATCAATCAGTTTTGATACAGCATCATCAGTACTAACCAGTCACAGAAGGAGAAACTAGAGCCCATTGAGTCTGGCTGCCTCTAAATTTGGCCACTTCCATTTGTTCTTGAGCTGAAATAGTCTCAAAATGGTAAATGCATCTTCCTAGAGAATGTTGACAAGTAAGGGCTCTTTGGGTAGTGAAGAGCCCATTGGCAGATTTTTGTCTTTGTGAATGCATTGCAACGTAAGCCATATATGTATTTGCCCCCCTCTCCCCCCTCTGTGTGTGTGTGTGTGTGTGTGTGTGTGTGTGTGTGTGTGTGTGTGTGTGTGCATCATGTGCATGCCATGGCATGTGTATGGAGGTCGGAGGAACACTTGTAGGAGTCAGTTCTCTCCTTCCACCCTGTGGATTCTGGGAATGGAACTCAGATGTGATAGAAAGTGCCCTCACTTCCTGGACCATCTCTCTGGGCCCCTAGAGAGAACTTTTCCATTAGGTTTTCACAAGTGTCTGTGATTCAATACACTTTGTACTTTGTATGGCTACTTGCTGCCCTGATTTGGCTTAGTTTATGGCTTACTTGAAGATATGATGGGGCTCTAAAGTCATAGACACATCTCAGATGTTAGCTGTTTCTTTACATTGAAAAGGAAGTTTTCTAAAGAGAGAAAGAAAGGGGATGGGATTGGGTGGGTGGGAAGGTGGAGAAGATCTGGGAGGAGTTGGGGGAGTGGAAACTATCATCAGAAAATTATTTTAAATAAAAATATATTTTAAAAAGAAAAGAAATGCTAATTTAAGTAAGCCATTATGTCTCCTTGAATCTCATTTTATATTTATCATTGAAGACGAATCAGGGGATAAGCATTAGATATTTGAACAATCATACCAAGCAAGCTTGCTTGCTGTCTATGACAAAAACTGGATCTTTTTTGTTTGAAGTTAATGTGCTAAAACTTGGACAGTGGGGTAAGTGGAAAAAAGTAATAGCTACACATCACCAAGTGACACAGGACACAGGACATGAATCTGGCTCATGATAGTGACGAACAGAGTGGCATACAGGACATGTTGGATGAGTTCAGCTAGCTAGAACGATGAGCAGTTAGAGGCATGCTCAACTGTTACATCAGAGGAACTCAGTGCTAACCTTCATCAGATTGTAGAACTCTCAGTTATTCAATGCTCACTGTGTGACTGACACTCACTGCTCTAGAGATGTAAACAGCATCTCTCTCTCTCTCTCTCTCTCTCTCTCTATATATATATATATATATATATATATATATATATATATATATATATACACACACACACACATACATATATATTTGGCCAAAAATTTATAGGTGTTACTTTCCACTAGGCCTTGTAGTATACACTGAAATCCCAGCACTTAGGAGGCTGAGGCCGGAGGATTCTGATTTAGAGGTGAGGCTACAGCATATCACAGGACCCTGACTTGGAAAACTAAAGCCTTTTCCATTTGGTAGTGGAGGTCTGGGGTGAATCTGTTGTTCATTGAATCATACAATCAATGAATGACACAGTTAGGATTTAAGTCTAGGAAAATCCTGCAAAAACAATTCCATATATAAGAGATTCACACAACATCTGGCCTCAAATCACATTTGCTCCAGTGTTCAGTAATTAAAGGAAAGAGAGCACACCGGGAGCTGTACACAGTGTTAAGGAGGATGTGTTAGAGACCAAGAAGACAAACGTGAAGTATTAGTGAGATCAGGAGCATTTAGATTGTTACCCAAGGGATGAAGGGAAGAGACTGAAAGAAAAATGCAGTGGCCAGAGTGGGGAAAGCAGGATAAACCAGTCGGACCTCCTCCTCCTGTTAATGCTTGCAGATTTATAATGTACAGCAAGAAAATGTGCTCATAGTGAGGGTGATAAATAAAGAAGAGGATTGGGAAGGAGAGAAAACAGTGTATGGCCTTGGAATGTAACTTCTCTCAGTAAAAAAAAAAAATGATCAACAAAGTCTGTGCTAGAATACACAATATGTAGTCACATCATGGGAAGTGCTTCCGAATTAATTGTGGAGGCCTGTGTTCATCTAATATGGTTATTTAGGCTAGAAAACTCTTCTTTTTACTTCAAAATTGTTTATGAGCTTTAGATGTACTAGGTGGAGAGGGGAACAGACATTTCTCCCTCTCTGGAAATTTAAGCCACTTTTATGTATTGAAGTTCAGCAAATAAGAAAAAGATTCACTTCTCACTCCATGGAGTCCTCCAAAATGAATAATTTGATTTGGTCTTGTTCCTATTCTTCTGCTGTATGGCGTTGTGTCCAGCCTGGAACAGCTCAGTAACCGAATATGAGATGTCTAACTAAAATCCCACCTTCTATTATTTAATAGTTGCTTGTGAGATTTCTGTATATCAGTGCTGCTTAATTAAAGACACAGATATGAACCATGGCATCAGCTTTTGAGAAACCTGATGTCCAGAGGCAGAGGACAGGAAGCAGTAGCTAAAGTCAGCTGCCCACACCATATCAAATGGTTCTCACTGAGATTATTGTAGATCTTCAACTTTTAACTGTTAACGGTATGTCTGGTTATGATGCCTTTGATCTCTTCCTTGTCAACCCTTTTTTTTACAGGAAGCTTTGGCATGGTCTGGTACATGTTCTGGCTTCTGGTGTCTTATGAGAGTCCTGCAAAGCATCCTACCATTACGGATGAAGAACGTAGGTACATAGAGGAGAGCATTGGAGAGAGCGCAAATCTGCTCGGCGCAATGGAAGTAAGCGTTTCGTGATGGGGTCTCGAGCTATTTTTACTGCTCATCTCCCCTTCCTGGACTAACTGTTACAGTTCCTTATCAAATAAAAGTAGTCTGGCACCAATCTCTCTCTCTCTCTCTCTCTCTCTCTCTCTCTCTCTCTCTCTCTCTCTCTCATATTAATTTTCTCTGACCTTCCTCAGGAACGATTGTGACCCCTTTGACAAACCTCTATCCCCAAAAATATTCACATTACAATTTATTTTTTTTATTTTTTTTTTTGTTTGTTTTTGGTTTTTCGAGACAGGGTTTCTCTGTGTAGCTTTGCGCCTTTCCTGGAACTCACTTGATAGCCCAGGTTGGCCTCGAACTCACAGAGATCCGCCTGGCTCTGCCTCCCGAGTGCTGGGATTAAAGGCGTGCGCCACCACTGCCCGGCACATTACAATTTATAACAGTAGCAAAATTACTATTATAAAGTAACAACAAAAATAATTTTATAGTTTTGTGGGCCACCACAACATGAGGAACTGTATTAAAGGGTCACAACATTAGGAAGGTTGAGAACCAGTGGGTCAGAGGAACTGTGTAGTCTGGGTTTCCGCTTTCTACATCCCATTGCCTTAAAGGCACTGCATCTTTCTTCTTATTAGGTTTCATATGTTCCTGTCACTTCCAAATAAATTTCAAAATAAGATCAAATGGAAATAGAACTTGTATTTCAAGTTCTTTTGAGCGTTTCTGTACCAAATTCTGCATACAAGAAAGCAGGCCGCATAGTCATGGATTGTTTTGTCTGAACACTGCTAACACAATCAACAATGGTTCTCTGACATCAGCAGCTGCATTGCCCCAGAAATCTGTGGCCAGGGAGTTCTCACAGAGAGCACCAAAAATACCCCAGAGAGAGAACTAAAAAGGGAAGAGAGAATACCGAGCACCAGGGACAGCAGCCCAGTGTGCTTCTTAAAGGAGCGGAGAGCCATGCATGCTCAAGTGGACAGGAGAATGTGATGTATTTTGACCAGCAGCAAGGGGATCAGCAGACAGGGAGTATGGGAAGGTTCAAGGAATGTGTCTCGGGGATGTGGCCCATTTCTTTCGGACTTTGGGAGCAATAGCCTGGCCTGAGAATGTTTAAGGGCTGGTCTTGAATTATAGTCTGCTAAAAAGGCTTGCAGAATGGGTCACAGATGAGGACTGTGTTTCTCAGGTCCCAGAAGGCTCGGAGACAGGTGCAACCATAGTTGACATCTTGTCCTGTTTACTTTTATTTTTCTGGACAGTTTCAAAATTTGTCCCATGACTGTGCCATATTCTCTTTCATAGAGCTCTACCAGAGCTAACACAATCAGCAGTGACTCAGTGACACTGCCCAGCTCATGCTCATATTCAAATTTCTAATACACAGTCCACCTAACACCTATAGGAATCATCCTGCCTGTATAGTCTTTTGTAGTCACTTGCTCTGGGTGTGGATCCGATGAAAGATCATAGGTTACAGCCAACTGTATGACTTAAAATTTTTTATGTTGTTCTCCAAGGAATAATTTTGAACATGATATAAATACAGGAAAACATAGGGATCATAAATGGACAAGTTGCTGTCATACCACATACCCCAAGCAGCTGAATAAACAGCATGTTGTCAGAATGCTGTACTTCTGCTTGTAGCTCCCGGTGATTTTTAAGGCACAAAGTAAGATAGTTGGGGGCTGGAGAAATGACTATGTGGTTAAGAAAGAATACTGGCTGTTCTTCCAGAGGACTAGAGTTCAATTCCCAGCACCCACAGGGCAGCTCACAGCCCTCTGTAATTCCAGTTCCAGAGGATTGGATACCCTCTTCTGGCCTCGGTGGGCACTGGGCACACGTGTGGTACACAAACATTGAGGCAAAAAAAAAAAAAATATATATATATATATATATATATATATATATATGTATATTTATATATACATATATAAATCAATCTTTTAAAAATTAATACTTTTCTCTTCCTGTTGGGAAAGTGCTTTACCATATGAAGAATATAATTTCAGGGAAGATCCTGATATGAGCAAAAAAGTACCCTCCCAGCAGGAAAAAAACAGTATTGACTCTTATTTATTCCACACACAAAGGTATCCCAATGCACACATTTCTGTCTTTGGCTATGTTTATTTATCTGTGAAGTGCTTTCATCATTTATTATGTACAGGATTAAAAAAAATTACCTATCCCTTGGAGCTTACCTTATCATGCTCTCACAAAACAAGTACTCACCAAAAGACACAGTGCTTATTATATATTATTGGTAAAGGTTACCCTCTCTCTTTATGGTATTACATATATTTCTGTTCATCACAACATGAGTTCTTATTATTCTACATTTAAAGTGATTTTTGAATATCTGAGCAAGACAGTTTAATACTAACAATTATGGGGTTCGACACTCAGGAATAATTACTAAATCTGTCAAGAAAATCTGCTTCCTGTGCTGATCATTTTATCATGACAAGGACGTGATAAAACACTGAATGAGGTAATTTTAGGAGTTTATTTCTTTGGCAGCTAGCTATAGTTTTAGTTTTCAAGATAAGGTAACTGAGAAAGTATTTGTGACTATGAGAAATAATTTGAAGTCTAAATATTAAGTGTATGAAATTCTATTTTAAAGGTATTATAACCATAGCAAACCATCTCCAGGAATTATGTTCTTATTTTAAAAAGACTCAAGTGTCATAATTAGCTGGTAATGATGTCCTGGGCTGTACCTGGTGAACCTCAACAACACGGGACTATTTAAGGAACTTATACTACAGTGTCATAACATGTATTGATCTCCACTGAATGTCAAGGGATTTACAGATAGATGATAGCTTTGCCAACTTCAGAAGAGATGAGCAATAATGCATTCTTATTTTTTCTTTCCTGTTCAAGTACATTCAGCTTTAAACGTTTTAGATAGCATAAAAACTACTTATTTGGCAATATTTTGCTGGGGGGAAATCTTTTAAAGTCTTAGAACCCATGGTTTTGGAATTTATTTTCTAAACACCTGAATTTTGCATACTTTAAAAACTAGACTGCTTAATCAGAGGAATGGACTGGTGTTTCATTTTCTCTTTTAATGAGTATTCACACACCTAAGGTTAACTGGGAAGCTGTCATTACCGTCTTATCTCACACTTGTGCTCCAGCCCATGTGTGTGAAAACAGAAAGCACTAGATTAAGACTGAAAATGCTAAAACAGAGTAACACTCCTTTTTGGACTTTCAGAAATTCAAGACCCCATGGAGGAAGTTTTTCACGTCCATGCCCGTCTATGCGATAATCGTTGCAAATTTCTGTAGGAGTTGGACTTTTTATTTACTGCTCATCAGTCAACCAGCTTACTTTGAGGAAGTTTTTGGATTTGAAATCAGCAAGGTATGTACAAGTTCACCTTATTAAAATACTGGATGACATCTGTATTTAAGTGAATATTCCTTCCTTTAGCCAAAGTTTGTCTTCTTCTAACCTTCATGATTTACTCCTGGAAAGTGTGTGTGTGTGTGTGTGTGTGTGTGTGTGTGTGTGTGTGTGTGTGTGTGTGTGTGTGTGTGTCCTCTACTCTATTCTGTCACCTACTAGAAATATCTCACTAGTTCTGGAGATCAAAGCAAAAAGAATCTCATCTCTGCCTTCCTGTAGCTCACATCTCAATGGGTCTGAGCAACAATACAGCCCTTTCCCCACACTTTCCCTACAAACAAATACAAAAACCTCTAGTTGAAGGCAATTGCTAAAAAGAAAGGTAATCCATTCTAATGGAACTGTGTTTCAGTTACTATCAACCTCCTCCCCTTCTGTGTTCTCAGAGATCTGTCCAATTGAAAGAGACACTTAGCAAATCAAAAAGCTGAAAATGTCCGTGCAATTCGTTCATCCAATGTAATTTAACAAGCATTTGTTGAGTCTATTATGGAACACTTTGTGTTATTTAGAAATACAATACTGCTTCTCTCCCCTAAATATTTGCAACTTTGTAATGTAGAAAAAATCATGTGTTACTAATTCACACACAGAAAGCTTTGTTTATAGATACAGAAATAAAACCATTTCCAGATTTTCTATAAGGGAGAACTCAACTTTAAGTACTCCTTTTGTGTAGGGATATGAAATTCTACAAGTATTTTCATATTCATGAATAACCTCATCTGGTAGACCAGATGGATAGCTGTCACCATTTCTGTTTGGCTGATGGTAAAACAAAACTAAGGATAATTATTGAAATCACCTAAAGGTGTATTAACTACTTACACACTTAGGACATGGATACTCCATTTCTCTTCCGATCCCCTTTACGGTGTCATACATCGGGGTGACCTATACATCTAGTCACACACTTAGCAGGTCAGTGTTAAGTGCCAGCTCTGAGTTCTGTGTGCAGCTCTCTGCTGAGTCCTGAATCCATTTATCTTTGCTGGCAACGATCATGCCGTTTCTCCTTGTGTTGTTACGTAAGTCCAGCTGGGCTTGGGCTGTTCACATTGTGTCTCTACTTGAAAGGCTATCGGAGAGCTGGGTTAGAGAAAGCCTGAGTCTGGCAGTTGCTGGCCTAAGAGCTCTTTTGAAGCAGCTGTTTCTAAGGAAACAGTCCCCCTCTCCCTGAGAAGAATGGCTGCTGTAGATCAGCCTCTTCTCCCTGGAGCTGATCAAACATTGTAGGGCAGCCTTGGGACCTCTGAGAGTGTCACACCTCTCAACAAAGGCTGCTGGAGGTGTGAGTCCATTTTCATAATCTAGGACAAATGTGACACTCAGAGGCTATTAATAAAGCCAGGATTTGTGGGGGCGGGGTAGTTACCAACTGACTCCAGTGAAATGATCTTCCTGAGCTTGTGTCTCCAATTAACTGAAAACACTTGAATAAAATCAGGGGTAGTTTGCAAAAACTAAATGAACTTACATATGGATTGATTAATTCACTTTTTTAAAAAGCTAAAATGCAGTTACATTATTTATGCAGTGTGGACTGAATATTTTTATTAAACTGGTAAAAAAAAATATTTTAAATTCTCCAACTTGAAAAAAATTTAGAGGAGGTCATGGTGGGCCTAAGAAATCCAGGTATGTCCAGGTCATGTGGCTTTGAACCTAAGCTTTACAATGAAGTGTTGACCTACTAGTTGGGGCTGATTTTTGAATAATTATCACCCTTAATTTTCTTATCTATGAATGGGAGCTTTAATACTATTTTCAGAAGTGAAACAAATTTTATACAAAATAATATGCATGCACAGAAGGTGGCTTTCCCGAACCTCATTAGAGTGGATATCCTATAGACAGAACCACACAGGGAACACCTTAATCTTCATTCCAAGTATGCTCGGTTAAGACAAAATGAGTTCACGTGCATACTCACACACATGCATACACTGTGTACAGCATTACAGAGTTATATATAGGACCTTATACTGTATGCACACACATAAGTGAACTATATTAGTTAACGCTGTGTGTGTGTGTGTGTGTGTGTGTGTGTGTCCCCGCACGTGCGTGCATGCACGCATATGTGTGTGTATGTGTAGTTCCCTATGGTAGTATGGAAGTATCTTTAGCTCCTCTGAGAATGGCAAATCAAAGCAAAGTCAATTCTAGGATTTTAACGAGCACCGTGAAACCTCAGAATGCAGGGACCAATCAAATGAGAGGAAACAGTTGTTTCCGCTGGGTTCTCAGGCAGCGAGGCCGTGCTTCACGCTCTGCTTCCTGACAACTTCCGAGCTTGGTTCAGGTAGAACTTGACAAAGAAGAGAGAGGAGGAATGTGTGAGGACCTAGGAGTACTAAGAAGAATAGGTGATAGACGATAAACAGCCGTCTTCCTCTGGTAAAACCTTAAAACAATGAGCAAATGAAAAACAATCCAAGAGGGACAGATCAGTCAGAATGCATGAAGTAATTACTTATCATAAGTCACCAGAGCTGAGAAGACCTACACATAAATAACTTCCCGAAAATTTTGCCTAAGAAACTGGAAGATCCCATACCAGAAGTGCTAAAACGGCACCAAAACTTACCTCTCAGCGGCCTCTAGCTGTTAGCTCCTTGCACTTTTATTCCTGACTCTGCTGAAAGAGTAATAAATGAATGCTTTGCTCTTTGCTCTTTGCTAATGCAAAGTAAAAAAAAAAATGTTCATTCAAATGAACAGTAGATAGCTGAGACTGCCCAGTGCAAAGCTTTCTTCAGACGTAAAACCTCTCACGGAAATGTAAAATGAAACATGACGTGGGGTTCTGGGAAAACCTTACATTTGTTTCAGGATGTATCTCTTCAGCACCTTCCTGATTTACATTTTATTTTGATGCATAGCTATGGTGAGGAGGAATGAAGGACCATTGTACTTTTCCAACATGTTGTTCTCAAAACCAAGAATATTTTCCATAGACTCAATTTACCTTATATTTTTATTTGTGTCACATTTACTGAACACCCATGTGTAAGCAAATAAGCACACTTACACACAATATCGGATTTAAATTCCCCTTTCTTTCTCATGTGGCATAGTTGCTGAGCTTATGCACGCTCAGAGTGAAGTCTTTGGACATGGGTAGAACTATTTAAAAATTGCCCTTTTCCATCTCAGTTTCCTCATTCAATAATAAAATTATAAAAACTCCCACCCTAAGCAGAAGAGAGAACTCAACAATTTAAACGTTTAATCCATCTCGAAACACTTCCCTCTCTCAACTAGTCATGATCATAACAACATTCTATATGTCATTGTAAAATAAAAAATTTCAAACCTGCATCTCACATCTCCAAGAATCCACTTGGAAGATGTGCTTAAACCCAAGCAATACTTCCCAGCCCTTCTCTTGTCAGAAGTTGTGCTTCAAAAATATAGTCAAGTGAGGACATCCATTCATGTGGCAATAGCCCATTTAAGTGTGTTTTTTCATATGTCCTCCGCCTCAATTGTGGGGGGTACCAGCCCCCACTTTTACGGCCAGGGTACCCTTGAGCAGGTAGAAGTGAGGAATATGTAGATAGAAATATAGAGGAGGGAGGCAGACAGAAAAACAGAATATCCTTGGGAGGGCCTGGGTCAGAGCCCATCAGCCCAGAACGTTCTTCAAAAGGGCTTTTTATAACAATGCCAAGAGGAGGGGCAAAAGACCTCCCCCTTGCTAGATACAGCCAAGTGTAGATCCTTCCGAACACCTGGTACTCAGGCCCATGGTTCAATCATCCTCTTTTGCAGCCCTGCTGGGTAAAGCCATTAGGAAACCTAGGTGTTCTCCAACACTCAATACCTAGGGAACTGTCTCTTGTTCATAGTTGATTGTTAAAAATGTGTGTTGAAGGCATGCTAGATTTGAGGTTGTCCTAATTTCTATTAAATCAGTTTAGAGGCTGCATACCATGGTATAAGAATACAACTGGATTTGACAGCAAATGAATCAAATTGAAGAACTCGTGTGAGGTTTCCATAAATGAAACCTATGCTATGAAATTTAAAAGAGGTGTCTTAAAATGTAAACGTGGAGTCTTTCACCTTTTGAATAAAATAGAAAATTTAAATACAGCCTTTTTGAGAGCCAAGGCATCTTTTCCTCCCTAGGTCTCTTCCTCCACCTTCTTCCTCTCACTAATGATGCATTTGTGCAAACACACTTAAGGATACGAAACGGATAAACAAGTGTGACTCACTCACTGACAAGATTCAGGAAGGTTGATTCATGAACTCAGAACACACTGAATCACAATGTAGCAGTAAAATTTTTCTTTCTTTAAGAATACAGAAAAAGGATCAAAGTAAATTTACTTAGCTTTCACGATTTGCTCTGTGGACATTACTGCTTATTCTAAGAGAGTGAGTGTGCATTTGGAAATAATGCTTTGCCATCCTTGGCTCATAAGGAGCAGATGAAGACAGATACAGAAAGCCAAGGTCACTCCATTGCCCACTTCCTTTATTCTCTCAAACATTTCTCCCCCTCTGGCTTTTGACAGGTTGGCATGCTGTCTGCGGTCCCACACCTCGTCATGACAATCATTGTGCCCATCGGGGGGCAAATTGCAGATTTTCTAAGAAGCAAGCAAATTCTTTCAACAACTACAGTGAGAAAGATCATGAATTGTGGTGGTAAGTGCATGTGGAGTGGTAAGCATATGTTCCTGTTTGGAGGTCTTGTGATCTACATACATGAATATGATTTCCTACATATGTTAGATTACTTCGTGGCAGTTAGACATGCATGTAGTGCATTTCAAATCATTTTCCCATGGCCAAGTTTTTCAACACTTATTATAAGATACCGCTGAACAAAGTCATTTTTTTATATTGTAACTAAATCTCTAACTACTAAGACTTCAGATTAATTTGGGCTTAAAAAGTACATAATGAATGCCCCGATACTCTCTGGCATAAATTACTAACATCATGTCTTTCTGAGGTAGGTTGTCCAAATTGGTATGAATGAGAAATGTTAGTAATCTTGGTTTACTTGTAAGAGTTATACTGTAATTTTATAATATAAAAAGTTACACTATAATTTTATACTACAATTTTAAAAGTTATAGTAATTTTGTTGGGTTTAGTCTGACTTAGACTTGTACAGGTTTTATGCATACTGTCACAATGGCTGTGAGTTCATATGTGAAGCTGCCCTGCTGTATCTAGAAGACACTGTTTCCTTGTGGTCATCCACTGCCTCTATCTCTTACATTCTTTCTGTGCCCTCTTCAATAATGATCCCTGAGCATCTGAATGTGTGTGTGTGTGTGTGTGTGTGTGTGTGTGTAGTACATATGTTCTGCTTGGTGCTGAGAATCCTGTGGTCTCATTCTCTACACCTTGCTCAGTTGTGGGTCTCTGTGCTGATGATGATTTACTGGAAGCAGAAGCTTTCTCTGATGAGAGTTGAGAGATAAGTAAATATGTGGGTTTAAAGGTAAGTCATTAGGAGTTGGCCTAATAGTATGTCGATTTAGCAGAGTAATAGCAGAAAATTCTCCCATAGGGCCTATGACTTGTCTAACCTCAGGTTCCTGGCCAAGAATAGTGCCACATATGGGTCAATCTTGTGAAGTAGGATTTAAGTTAAATCAGTGGTTGTTAATCCATTAACATTTATGGCACTTTTATACTGAGAAGAGATGAGTACCGTGTCCCATCCCTAGCTGAGGAGCCATTGGCAATTGATAGTTGCTGGGAGAGGGAGAATCAGTTTTCTCAAAGAGTGTAATTCCTAATAAGTTGACCATAATCCAGTGGAAAGCCACATACCCAAGAATTAATGGGTACCACAAATTTGACTTGATAGGTTTAAAAAAAATAAGGACACACAATTGGGTGGGTAAGGAAGTAGGGGTGATTCTAGAATATTTGGGGAGGAGATGAATATGATCAAAATACATTGTAAAAAATTCTCAAAAAACTGACACTCTCCTGTGCTTGCCTCCAAAGGTTTTGGCATGGAAGCCACCCTGCTCCTGGTTGTAGGCTACTCTCACACTAGAGGGGTGGCCATCTCCTTCTTGGTGCTTGCAGTTGGATTCAGTGGATTTGCTATCTCTGGTAAGAGTCATCCTCTCTGTCTGTATACCACATTCTGATTTTGCTAGTAATTATCTATGTGCTGGGCAACAGTTAGAACATTGAGAAACATCATTTAGAATTATTATTGTTCACCTTTCCCTCTAATGACTGTTTCTTTCTTTATTGTACTAAATCAATTTGTTAAGAGAATGTTTGCAGTGAGCCTTGAATGGAGTTATGAAAAGCACATGGTATGCACCCAGGATCTTTTGGGAAGATGTGATCTGATGTTCTGTACCAGGTACTTGCTTCTTAGAAGCTTATACTGCCTTGAGCCAAAGTTTCTGTGTATATTTCAGGCTTCAATGTTAACCACTTGGATATTGCTCCAAGATATGCCAGTATCTTGATGGGCATCTCAAATGGCGTTGGCACACTGTCGGGGATGGTCTGCCCTATCATTGTTGGTGCAATGACAAAGAACAAGGTAGGAACAAGAGGGGTTCCATCGTAGAAGATTCCCTCTTATGGTTGGAAAGGAGCTTTGGTGTTCTTGGAGTGCTCTGTCCACTTCTACGTAGGCAGGACAGATGAAGCCCAGAGAGACAGATCTCTACAGTAGCTCTGAGAAGCTCCACCTCCCCAACTGTCAAGCAAGGTGTTTCTCAAGCCCTTCCAACAGCCACGGGTTATCTACTTATTTGGAAGTGTTAAGTAGCCAAGCTAGGGGTTTTATACAAAAAACAAATTGCCTATTTCTGATATCCCCATTGTGACAAGAACATCATCCCAAGCCCACAAAACCTTTGCTCCTAGATTATACAATAGACAAACAGCCTTCCCCAGCTTTATTCATTAACCTCAATTCAGATTCTAAGGCAGTTTTATGAGGAATGCAATAGCTGTCCTCATATGTCTATATAGGGCTTCAGAGTTGAGGTTTTACAGATGGAAATGAAGAGAATGAATAAGAAAGACAAGCCAATGGAGAGTTGGCTGAGCTAGTGCATGCCTATGCCTTCAGCACTGGGGGTAAAGAGTCAGAAGAAACCTCAGCTGAAGACCAGTCTCAGTTACAGAGTGAATACCCCCAACCAAAAAAAGATAAAAAACTAAAGAATGATTAATAAATGTAAAGGAATATTCTTGAACTCAGCAGACTAGAGATGTAGTTAAGATTTTATTTTCAAATCTTTATCTTAAAATTTAAATAATGAAACAGTTTTATTTCAATGTGTTTGCTTGACATGGGTAACTCCAAAGGTAGCGCCTCACGAAAAGCATGATGGCAGAGCATGCTCCCAGGGCAGCTCTCCCAGTTATGGAGTTTGCTCTCACAGTCCCCCTTTTCTCACCACAGTCCCGTGAAGAGTGGCAGTACGTCTTCCTCATCGCTGCACTGGTCCACTACGGTGGAGTCATATTTTATGCAATATTTGCCTCAGGAGAGAAACAACCTTGGGCAGACCCTGAGGAAACAAGTGAAGAAAAATGCGGTTTCATTCACGAAGATGAACTGGATGAAGAAACAGGGGACATCACGCAGAATTACATAAATTACGGTACCACCAAGTCTTATGGCGCCACCACCCAGGAGAATGGAGGCTGGCCTAATGGCTGGGAAAAGAAAGAAGAGTTTGTGCAGGAAGGAGCACAAGATGCATACAGCTATAAGGACCAAGATGATTATTCATAACGAAGCTAGTTGCTCGATTCATTTTTAGTGTTGTGATCAAATTAATTGTGATTGCACAAAATAATTTTAAAAATGTGGTGTGAACATGTTAACATATCAACCAAGCAAGTCTTGCCGTTTAAAAAGAAATATGAATTCAAAACAGACCATGAGATTCCCATCAAGTGCAATCTGTGGAAGTTGTCACGTTATGTCATTTCCATTGAGGTTGTTCATCCTTCCGTTTGTGATTTAAAGGTTTACTGTAGATATAAGTAGGTGTTCGTTGGACCCATCACCATGGTAGAGAGCACAACTAAAATAGTTGGCACGTGTCATCCTACAGAAGTTAGGAAGCCAAAGCTACTTGATCATGCAAACTGCACTTATTTATTTATTACACTGGACTGCAAAATATCCCAGGGAAATCCTGTCTACAGACATAGTGAGATTGGAAAGCTGGTTAGATCGGGTATTGACTATAATCATATGTGTATATCATGGGTTGGCTATATCTTTTCATTGAAGAACTATATTGTATACTAGCAGCTAGCAACTCGTACTGAATTGTTACTAGGAGTGCACAGTGTGTGATATTTTGTGATCTTCAAAAAGCTTATCTTGCAGTGTTTTGTGAAATGCTTGGACACAAACACTTATTTTTTATGAAAGAGAACTTGTAAAGGGAGGGGTATGCTCCATGCTCTCCCATTCATTACCTGACAGTATCAAACCCCTCACATTTCAATGAAATTCAACTTTCATGTAACATATTACATAACTTTTTTTGCAAAAATCTATAAGAAGAAATAGACTTCAATGTATTTTTTATTACAACTTTGTACTGGTTGTAACTTACATTAGGAAAAATTGATTGAGATATATATATAAAATCATAAAGAATCTAATAAAATTTACTATGAAGCTGTAGCCCTTAAAATGCAATATTAACAACAAAATATATAGAAAATGATTTAGATAATCTTCCTTGATAGCTAGAGACTATATGAAACTCATGCCACAAAGCTATATATAACATGAAAAGATAAACAATAGAGATTCTATATGTAGACAATTTTATTATCTAATATCCCATTTAAGAGATATTTGTCTTGAGTATATAGGACAAAATATATTGAAATTATATCTATATCCCTGTATATCTTATACATATCCACTCACACAAACATAACAAATACTTTTCACACAGAACCAAAAATAGCATACACCTAATGTTGGGTTAGGGACTGCAATTTCTACTTTCATAGAGTCATAGAATTTTAGATGGAAAAAAAGGCATTTTGCTCGCCATTTCTTAATATATTTCAACAGGAACTGCAACATTTGTGTACCAAGCAATAAGTGCAAAGCTTAAAACCTCCTGTTTGTAAATTACCCCCGTGTTGCTTGTGGTAGCAATGATTTATTTCTTTTAAAGAAGCTAACATCAGAATTCTTGATCGTGTTCTGCGGTGATAAGAATGCATATCCCAGTGTAACGCAAAGCGCCGCCCGGTGTGTTTCCGTGTCTGCTCTGGGTGTTTGATCTGTTCAGTGTCCTGTGCTCTTGTCTGGAGGCCCTGCCGCTGCAAGTAGAACATGAAGTTTGTTTCTAAACGCAAACCACTCCTGACCTTGAGAACCTGAAACTCCTCTCTGCTTTGTGTCTCCAAGTACTGTCATGTGACCGTTGCCTTTGCTGTGCTGAGTAAAGAGATGTGAGCTGTCAGTTTGTTGCTGCAAAACAAGTGTTAATAAAATGTTCTATTTACCCTTTCGTAAAATCAGTGCATTCATTTCGGGTTGATTCGGTGTGCAGCTTTAAGGCGTATGTAGCTTATGGATGCTCCACTGAAACCAAATATAGGCTCCACAGTAAGAGCCTTGCTGGTTAGCACCTTGGGATTCAGTACTCTTCCTTAGATGGGGAGACCTGATTATGTAGGGAGAGTTAAAGCTGAGAAATCCATCTCTGAGTCAAACTCTATCTTTCAACGACTGTGTCATCACAACCGCTGCTAAATTTAAAGCAAAGTTTGGAAATAAACTTCAGCTTGTCAGCTCAACACTGCCACCTCATTTTTATTGCCCACGTAGCCTGGACTAGATACTGCCAGTCATTTTCAGTGACTGTCACTGGTGTTATGTAAACCCACAGTCGCGCTCTAAAGCAGGCATTCATTTATTCCAAGTTTAGACATTTGTAAAAAGGAACTTGGAAAGCCCAAGTTTGCCAAAATAAAATAAAGCAGTAACATTAGATGTGTTAGTCAAATTATTTAGTGGTGAGCGAGACTGTCAATGGAATGTGTGTGTCACGGGAAATGCAATCAGAGCTCAGAGTCCACGTTTCACAGATGTGAAAACAAAAGCCTTGCTATGTTTCTCAATCTGTATAGAACCTCGTAGAGGTGGGGTGGAGGTGAGGGAGATGGAGAGGTGGTTCAGTGCCTAAGAGTATATGCTGCTCTTCCAGAAGCCTGAAGTGCTGTTCCCGGCACCCATGTTGGATGCCTCACAACAGCCTGTAACTTGAGCTCCATCTAGGGGATGTGGCGACCTCTTCTGGAATTAGTAGGCACTGCACTCACATGTCACACACACACACACACACACACACACACACACACACACACACCAAATATCAATTAAATAGTTAGAATCTGTGTGTGAAACGAACATAGAATCAGACTTCTGATACAGTACTGCTTAAAGCCTTGGGTGACGTGTTATCTGACACGCCTTGTTTAACAGATGAGAGCACTGGAGTCTGCAAGGAAGATGGATCAGCCTCTGTCAAGGCAGCATAGATATTGCTAGAAGCTTTAAGCTTTGGAATAAATTATAGTTGAGTGTGCTATGATTTTTAGCGAGTTTTTCATTGTGCATAGTAATCAAATAGGCATTTGTCAGTTCAAACACTAACTGCACACCTGCCAACTCTGATAGAGTTTCCGGGAGTTGAAAGTTGAGGGATAAAGATGTCCCCCGGCATCATCTGCGTGAGTAGAGAGATACCAGACCCAGCCTATTGCTTACAGAGGCTCACACACCATCTCTTTATATCTTGAAGACAGCAATGTCTCAACTCTAGCAGCCCACACTCGCCCAATTCCATGGCACAAACTTTGTATTTTCTCTAAGAATATCATTTCACAGCTGGCTCCAGAGGCACCTTCATTTCTCTCCTCTTGTTCAGGCAGCCCCCTCCCCACTTCCTTTCTCCTCTTCATCCATTCTTTTTCTGTATTTTACTCACCATCATGACATGCATCCAGTATTTTGCATCTCTGACCTTGTTTTGCTCTCATATGTACTTTCTAAAACTGAAAAGGCTGTTTCTGTTGTTAAGTGTTTCTGTTTTCTAAGTAAGAAATCACGCCTAAGATAGTACTTAAATTCCTGAAGAGTCTGCAGACTAGAATCCACTGCAAGAACTTCCTTTTAATTTTAAAGTCCTTTTATCCTAAATACTACAAATCCACTACCAGGCCAGAAGCTTTGTTATGTAAAAGTCATTGTTAAAAGCAATTTCTCAAGCCTATAAACCCAGCTCTTGGGAGTCTGAGGCAGGAGGATTGCTTCAAATTTGAGGCCCTAGTTCTCTGAACTGAGTCAAGAAATAGGTTCCATCCCACTCAAGGTGCCCCACAACAGAAGGAGAGAACTGATTCCCTCAAGTTGATCTCTGATCTTCACAAATGTGCCAATATGTAAGACAAAAAATGTAACTGGCGCTAAATAATAAATATTTATTAAACCATCATTTACAATGTACAGAAGAAGACAAAGATGTGACTTGTAGATAGTCATAGTTGCATCTACAGAGAAGGGAGACAGGGCATAAATCAAATTTCATATTTGGCATTTTAATTGGAACTACAGTAAATATGACAATGTCAGTATTTGTTCTGGAAATTTACATAAAGATTTTAATTATATTTTTCTTGACTAGTATTCTTATAAACAAGAATTATTAAGCTAGATATGACATTTTCCCTCTGAAAACAAGCCTTATTTCTCTCCAGCCTTTTTCCTTATTTAGTTTTATCTCTGAGTTGCCAATGGAGACACAGCCATGTTCTTCAAGGACATTTGACACTTTTATAAATCTACAAAATTTAGTGCAACCACTCCTGGGAAATGCTCCTTGTTTATGAAGTCAAGGCAAAAGAGAGATTGCCCACACATTTCCAGAGTTCTTTGGCACAAAGACAGCCGATGTATGCCTGAGACAATGGCACTGGTGAGGGCTGTCTTTACAGCAGACCTCATCCAGTCTGAGGATTGCTTTGCAGACACTTGAAAATAAAAGGACGATTATGAGGATATTATGGAGCCCATGTCTATCCCCAGACCACAGCGTACAAATTAGTATGTGGTGGCCTTTTATCCCAGCACCCAAGAAGCAAAGGTAGGCGGATATCTATGAGTTCCAGGCCAATAGGGGCTACATAGTGAGACCTGTCTCATAATAAAAACAACAACAATCAAATTAGCCCATCAACATCAATGCGAAAACACAATGGCTCTCAGTTCTAATTGTAATAGATTAACAGAAGAAATAAAAACAGTTTGGGGTTGAGCTAAAATACAATGTTTCGTGTTTCAAGTACTCCAGTATAAGCCATGTCTGGTTGGTTGGTCTTGAGTCCCCTAACCTGTATGTATTATAAAAGAGTTGTAGCCGGGCAGTGATGGCGCATGCCTTTAATCCCAGCACTCGGGAGGCAGAGCCAGGTGGATCTCTGTGAGTTCGAGGCCAGCTTGGGCTACCAAGTGAGTTCCAGGAAAGGTGCAAAGCTACACAGAGAAACCCTGTCTCGAAAAACCAAAAATAAATAAATAAATAAATAAATAAATAAATAAATAAATTAATAAAATAAAAGAGTTGAATGGTCTTCACGGCATCTAAAAATGTTTACAAGGTGGTTTGTAAACTCTTTTCATCTCCAAAGTTTTCTGATTTTATTCTGTCCTTTCTGGTAAATTACTGAGGTCCTCAAGTTGACTGTTACAATTATTCTCAGAATTCCATGAAAGATGGATGCTTATTTTCTATCTACATTCCTATTACATTAAAAACATCAGCCACCTATTTTTTGATCTCTGGAAGGGTGAGTATCACAGAGAAGGACTTTTTTGTCCTGCTAGGTTTCTTTGTGTGGTTCTTATTTCTAATTCTGCAGAGGAAATAGTACATTGTTCAACAACGTTGCATTGTAGAATTCATGAAGCCATTTGCTAACTGATGTTCTGCAGTGGGATGGAATGCACTCGTGACAAACCACAGGTATACATTCTAATGACAAGTCACAGATAACTGTGAAAGGTAGAACATTCTAGCATCCTATCAAACTTAAATGGAACAGGAAACAGATGGAGCTTGAAGCCAGAAAAGGGAAGTGAACGCTTGAGAAAGTAAGTCACTGATGTGATAGGCAGCACTCACCACAAAGTGAGCAAGTTAGCCTGGTGGAAAGGAACAGTCAGGAGGGTTAGGCAGGGTGGAAAGGATCAGTGTGCATCCTAACATTTTCAATGTTAAAATTACACAAATTGCGGGGGGGGGGGCATATTTAATCAGTAGAAAAGCAACCTACTGAGCTTTAATGTAGAAAACTAACAAAGCTGTACTGATTATCTATTTTCTTCCTCCTGCTCTTGAAGCATCACTGTTTGTAGTTGCATTGGAAATGTGAAAGTTAAGGAGAATGAATGAAACCTGTTCTCAGCTCTTAAGAAGTCCAATATAGGAGAAGAAAGCAGACACAGTTAGGAATAGGATCTGCTAGAGCAAACAGAGTGAATTTCACAAATTCAGAATTTTATACTTGGACAGCAAACTCTTCATATCTTGGATAAGTATACATATTTTTTTTTCAAGACAGGGTTTCTCTGTGTAGCTTTGTGCCTTTCCTGGAACTCACTTGGTAGCTCAGGCTGGTCTCGAACTCACAGAGATCCACCTGGCTCTGCCTCCTGAGTGCTGGGATTAAAGGCGTGCGCCGCCACCGCCCGGCTTAAGTATACATATTTCTTAAACAACCATACTGTTAAACGCTTCCTACCTCTTCAATATTCTCTTTACAATAACTACCAATGAGCTACTTCTCCCACTGACTTGTAAAAGACACAAGTTGTCAGTGGTACCAAGTCTGAGACCTGATATAGATCAGGGGCTCAACAAATACTTAATGAATGGAAGGATATGGGGCCAGACTAATTTACACAGACTACACAGGGATAGCATGGTTATCCTGCACAGTGAATTCATGTTCCTGGAGAGGCTTGAGGAAGATAGAGAGACAGCGTGGAGCTGAATTTGAAGGTGGAGCAAGTCCCTGAACACCTCAGAGATGGAAGAGAGGTAGAGAGCAAGGGGCCACATCTGGAACACATGATGTAAGTGTGGGAACTACAATATGTCTGAAGAATAATCTCAGTCCAAGTGCCCTGAAGAGCAGGGAAGAAGCTGGACAGAATGAGCCTGTCAGACATCCCCTGAAGTGTAGAATTCATAATTAAAATAGTATTAAGTAGGGCTGAGTTGGCCAGATCTGGTAAAGTGCTGTTCACAGTACGGTGACAGACTACAAGGAAGTTTTGTTGTTGTTGTTGTTGTTGTTGTTGTTTTTGTTGTTGTTGTTGTTGTTGTTGTTGATTTTTAAAAACAAGAAGAGAGCACATGGTGTCCCGTAGGGATCCTCCTAGGTGTGCCATGCTTTCTCGGTTGGTTGCTTTCTTTCTTCTGGAGAGAGGGTGGCTCCTTATGATCAGGGTA